TCGTTCCACGAGCACTACACTTATGTGCGCACTTCTGCCGTCACCCGTGCTTGCTCTTGCATGCATGGTAGGCTCTACTTGCGGCGTTCTTGAGCTGCCTAGCCACTTCCATATCACTGTGACCGGGCGGTCGGTCGCTGGCTTGGCCAACTGGCTCGGTCCCGCACTGGGCCTGCTGCAGCCCGAGCGCAGTCACTGACATGGACTGGGCTCGGCTTAGGCACAACTGGGCCTTACTGGCTGTGACTGGCACGGGCATGGGCGTCCGTGTGCGTTGGCGTGCCACTGGGCATAGCCAGCATGAACTGAACCTCATTGGGCACTTCAGGCGTTAACCTGGGCCAACTGGACATGACCCCGGGCACTGGCGTGCGACTGGCGCGACGCATGCACTTGACAGGGCCTTCGAGTGCTTGCTGGGCACAACCGACAGTCAATTGGACGCATGACATAACGACTAGCGCTGTCGAGCGCTGTGGGCGCCGACACTTGCGCGAGTGGGCACTGCCGGGCACATCTGGCACCGCGGGCAGGCGACTGGGCACTAGGACGGGTGAACTAGCGCTGGCTGACGTGAACTGGTAACGCTCGGGCGGTGCCAGGCGACCCTGACAGCACATGACGCTCGGGCGTGCTGTCGGGCACTGCCTGAGGTTGACTGGCGTGCGGTTGAACGCTCTAGCGTGCATTAGGAAATGCCGGCGTGTGCGGGACACTAACCGACTATCAACTGACGTGGGCAGTGACCACTCTCGACGCCCAACTGGGCATACACACATCATCCGCCCGACTGTCTGACTGCCGACGCTCTGTGACCGCTGTGTGCGGGCAGAACGGCTACGACCGGCCCTTGCTGGCCGTCCGGCGACTTCCTCCGACAACATCAACATGAGTCAACGTAATTTAATATGGTATAAATAAATACACCTAAATCGATCGAATGACCATGAATATAATTTAACATAACCCATGAGACATGAACGGTCGTCGCGTGCGCGACATGCGCATCCCATGGCTCCGATCGATTTCTTCGACCGATCGACAACTTCCTTCGACCATTGATACATGGCTGATCATAATATACCCAATAATAACTAATGAAACGTGAATCGCTCGGGAGTTGCCGAATAAAAATGGACATGGCTTGGCATGGTTCAAATGGTACGATCGAGAGAAAATATAGTCTATTCATGAACTTAGCTTCATGATTTTAACTTAGCATGATTGTATAGACATTAAAATAAGGTCAAGAAGAGATTATCCCTTTGATTGCTCGGTCAATTGTGCAAAGCTTCTCGTGATCACTTGTCCGTTAGGTAGCTTACGTGCGTGCGTGCATGTGAGGAAAGTATCTTAATCTCTCTTATCTCTTGCTTAATATATAGCTTAAGGGTTAAGCTATATTTTCACCCAACACTCTGATTTATAACAAGGTGAAAGATGGTAAATTTGGATGAAAAATGAAGTCAGGGGTGCTTGTCGTGTGTTTAGGGCCTTAGGTGGCCTCTTAAGCTTAGTCATTCCTAGGTGGCACATGGAGACATGGCTTAGTCATCATATGTATGCTATTAAATTTCCACCTAAGCTAAGTAGAAATCATGAAACTCACGTGTAACTTGCACACAATTCTCTCGGCAATTGACATGGCTTAAGGCCTAATGGCGCGCTAAGCTTAGACTAAGAACGATTGATGCTTAGTTAAGGATGATTGACTTGCTAAGCCGAGGATGACCGATCAACTTGCTAATAACGTGCGGTAATGAGCTAAGTAGAAATCATGAAACTCACGTGCAACTTGCACACAATTCTCTCGGCAATTGACATGGCTTAAGGCCTAATGGCGCGCTAAGCTTGGACTAAGCACGATTGATGCTTAGTTAAGGATGATTGACTTGCTAAGCCAAGCATGACCGATCAACTTGCTAATAACGTGCGGTAATGAGCTTGATTGGCGAACAATCAAGACATGATTAAGCACTACCTCTCGGCAATGCGACACTCGTGCGGATTAATGGCCGATTAGGCCAATTGATAAGATGATTAGCACATGATCAAGATGATTAAGCTCTGTAAAATTTTTATCGAGCGATTAAGCATGGTTAAACGTATAACATATGAAATTAAATTCTTAGAAATTATTCCGAGCATAAACATGAATATTACGTGATTACATGTATTAATGACATAGTGGGCTGTTACAGTTAGGATAAGAACTTACAGTTTTAAAATCTTCCGACTCTGAGACGTTTTTTATTTCCGCTGTTGGAGATTTTCTGAACCTCAGAGTTGTTGGATTGTCGGACTGGACCTCGCTATCGCGTCATCGGTTGCTTGTCGGTCTTTTCGGATCATCATGAACTATCGATTGATTAGTCAAACCACCCGGGACTCGTCTTTTTTTCGAAGCGGGGGTTGGACCACTGTAGCTCTCCGTTCAAATAACAGAATTTATGTGATTATGTGGATTTTATGAAATTTCATGGTATTGATTTATTTTGGGCTATTTATGATTATTTCTCGTTTAAAGCCATCACATTATATTGTCTTAAAGATAATATAATTTTTCGTCCGATAATTAGGTTCCTCGTATATTGTATTGGCATTATTAATATTATATTATTATTGTTATTATTATTTATACTCGAATAGTATTGAGTGAAATATATATATATTCTGGGTTAATTTTAATTATCGTCGTTCAATCGGAGCCGATCTAATTATTTTGGCTAAGTATCGAACCCGATAGAATACCTTGCTCGCGCGCCCGCGCCCTCGCGTGTTTATCCCGTAAGCCCTCGCCCGAGACTACCAAAACTCTGACCCCCATCTCTCTCTCTCTTTTACTTGTTGGGAAAGTTCCTTGTACCCTAGTCTTATAAAAGGATGATTAACCCTCAGCTCCTGACCTCACATTACGCTGCTACTGCACCATCTGCTTCTCTCTCTCGTCGCGTATCAGAACAGAAAAACGAAAAAGAAAAATTGTGTCTCTCATCTCTCGATCATAGTAGAAAAGAGAAACTCTCCATATCTCTCGTAATACTCTCTTTCTCAAACCTTCCCCCTCACTTAACTCCGATCGCCATCGTTCAGAGCACCCCAGCCGTCGTGCACCACCGCGAACAGACGCCACCATTGTGGTTCGAGGCGCGAACCACGCCTAGATTCGTTCACTGCCCGTACGTCGCTTCATTCTGCCAATTAGTGACCGCTAGTAGCTGTTTCCCACGCGAGACCATCGACAAGCCCTCCATCTCTTCACGTGATTCCAAAACCGCGACCAGGATTTCCAACAACCATCCTCGTTTGAACTGTGTTCCGCTACTCGTGTGTTTTGTTTGTCGCTCTCCAGCACCCCCAAAGAGCCCGCGCAGTCAACCGCGACCAAGAAACACGCTCGTCGGCGAGTCAAGCACCGCTGCCAAGCCCACACGTGCACTAACAGCCCTGTTTCAGCCCTCTCTCGGTCGTTTTGTGAGATATTCCCACGAACGGTACACGACGGCTCAATACGCTTTCGTTTATTATGTGTTTTAGCGATTTGAGGTGGTATATGGATTATTGCGTGATTAAAGTTTTAAATAAATTGTTTATGTGTATTATGTATGTGTGCTTCGTGGCTTGATGTTAAATTCATATCAAAGCATGCTGATGGTAAAGTTTCCCTCTAGTTATGTGTGTTATATGTGATATACGGTGTTCTTGTGATTCTTCGGAGTTGCTTATAATGTGGAGGTTTGTTGTTGAAGTGTCATTGGGAATTGCATGAGTTATCACAATTTACTGTCCATGTTGTGCCTCTGTTTTGGCCTTCAAGAACTTGTTCCTTGAAGTTATATTCTTGACATGAATTATAGCTTATCCTGTTAGCTTTCGTGGGCATTGAAATTTTGAAAATCTGATTTAAATTGAGTGAGATATGATTTTTACAAAACGATTTTGCAAAGCCGTTTTCTGTAAACCCGACAGCATATTTATATTAATTGTTTGGCTTTTTGATGCCCGAATGTGCTCAAATATGAAAGTGATCTTCTTGAAATATATAGCATTATGTGTTAGCTTCTTGTTAGTTTTTGAATCAAGTCAAAAGCATGTCTATAGCATGAGATATCCCAATTTTACTGAGGCTCTATAAGATGTAAAATTCTGTTCTCGGGCTGCAACTATGTTTCAAATGTATGATGGATAAACTATGATCAGATGCCCTTATTTGCCATTAGTGTCTTCAGGAATGTTGTAGCCTTATTTCATAGTTTTCTGTTGGTGCTTTAATCATGTCATTTGGAGGTCTATATCATGAGTTATATGACAATTACTAAAGCACTGTATGCAGAACATTTCAGTTTTCTGACTACATTTCGGTTATGAATGTTTGCTGAATTATCACATGGTAAATGAACTTATTTGTTTTTTATGCCTTCATAAGAATTGTAGATGCATGTTTTAGGGTTCAAATGCAACTGGAATCATGATTATAAGACATATGTGCTGCAACTTGTGTCGATTTCAAAAACGCTGCGCGGGTTAAGTTTTGAAAACTTAAGTTGTGTGTTTGGAAAAAAAGTTTACGTTTTACATGCGTGCCTAGATGAACTATATGAGCTGAGTTGAATCGAATGAATATTGTTATATGTGTGTTCATAAGTTGGATAGTTATTTATAGGCCTATTTTAATAAATGTAGGCGTTTGAGGAGTCGAGCCTCGACCGACATTCCACTACTTGTTGTGCTCTACCTTTTTTATAACCAGGTGGGTTTGTTATTCTAAAAATTTCTATGTCGTAAATGTTATCAATGTATACTTGTGGTATGATTAATCTATGCATGTGAATCATGTAGCCTTCGATGTGAGCTGTACCGACCGTCAAACGGTTATCCCCGTAGCTATAGAACGTACCCGTTGGGTAGTCTCCTTTTTGTGAGCCGTAAGACAAGGGCATGGGCCCTTGGCCGGTGATCCCCGTTGGTAAGACCAAGCCTTGGCCGGCGGGGTGGATTTACTCATACTGGCTAGCCATCGATATAAGCTGAGGGCCATTCGATATATTACCGGCAGTAGTCTATTCTTAGTTGTGCACATGAGTCTTGATTTTATGATATTATGATAGGAGATGGGATAGATAATTGCTTCGTATACATGCTGCGACCATACCTGACTTGCTTTATGATTACTGATTATCTTATGGTTAAAGTTTATTGCATAGTGGTGAGCACCACGGATTCCATATGTGCTGACCCCCACTTGTTTCTTCACAGATGCAGGTTTAGTAAGTGTGAGCACTGTGGACTGGAGCGAGTGGTGGTCGGTCTGTGAGACCAGATTATTATTTGTTGTGCTTCCGCTTATGATTTTATGAACTTGAGATTTTATGAGAATTTGGAATTTTGTCGAGGAAATACTCATTTGATATTATGGTAATATTATGGAACCCGGTTTGGGTGTTTGATGACATTGTGATGAACCCGTTTTGAGAGTTTGATTTTATGATTGATGTTTTGTTGACTGTTGATGTTGGTCTTAAATATGAGTAATGCCACAAATGTTTTGAAATGATTTTCGAAAATTTAAATTGATTTTTTCTGAAAAGCCAAGGGTTTTCGTTAAATCAAAGTGGGGCGTTACAATTTGGTATCAGAGCTGGTCTGTGTTTCTGTAGACAGCTTAATGTGAATTATGTGAACTATTTGAATATTATGATGTGATTATGACCACTCGCTCTTGTCGTGCCGCATCAACTCAAGTATGAGTACATAAGTGATTTCGAGATGATTATGTATTAATTGATATTGATATGATAAATCGGGGCTTAGAAAATCTGTCCACCTTTGGTTAAGTTTGAACTCTAGTGTTTA